CAAGTTGCATGCGCGTGGGTACGATGTGTTAAATCACATTGACGGAAGCACTCCTCCAGTGAAGACGGACGCGACTTACGAGTCGTGGTCGAAAATTGACGCCATAGTCCTTCAATGGATCTATGGATCGTTATCTGACGAATTAATGGCTAGAGTTCTAGACACTGATGCTACGGCGTAACAAGCATGGAATCGAATTCAAGATATTTTCCTCAACAATAAAAGCTCACGTGCAGCAGCACTCGAACACCGGTTCATCAACCTGACACTTGCTTCGTGTTCATCCATGGACGAGTACCAACAAAAACTCAAAGATCTGGCAGAATAGTTGAATGATGTGGACCACACCGTGCCTGAATCACGTCTTGTCCTACAAATGGTACGAGGTCTTCCTCAAGAATATGACACAGTAGCCTCCATCATCCAAAATAAAGAAAACACTTCTTGTGACAATGCATGCTCAATGATTCAATTAGAGCAGCAACGCGTCTCTGCTCGTCAGAATCCGAATCAATCGGCGTTCACAACAACTCATTCAGGTATGCAACAAGTTGGTCAAAACACAAACCCATCTCCAGGTCAGTACAACACCACAAGCAACCACCAATCATAGGGATTCGAGCAGCAAAGTGGTCGCCAATACTCCTCGCGGGGACGAGGTCGTGGTCACAATAACCGTGGTGGTAGGGGGTGTGGACGACAACAGTACAACCAGTCGAGTCCTCCATTGCAACCATCTGGTAATTGGACCTGGACTCCATCAACACCTCCTTGCCCATATCCAACTCAGTCCAATTGGTCATCCTCTTGGCAAAACAGGCTGATACCATAAAAGCCAATATTCTGTCATGTCTCTTCTCTGAATGTCGAGACAATATATAATACATGTATGCCTAACTAACCTCTTCTAAATTAGGAGGATTATTGACTTTCCTCACAATACATATATGATAATAAATACAATATATATTCCGCTAATATACAATATATATTCTGCTAATAAAATGATCATAAATTCTCACATATACTTTTTGGTTTCTACTGATTTTATGGCCACGGAATCATCCTAATTAAAATAGCCGAATCTCATATTATTCATCAATCATCATATTCCGGGTTAAATATCTAAAACGTCGACAAACAAATTGTTGACAGTTCATTACAGTTTCAAATGCATTTCAATTAATCGATAATGATCCAAACATAGATGTATGCATATAATAGTATAATCTTCCAAACACAAAAAAAAAAGGTTGTTTTGGTATATAGACAACTCAAAGTTGGTATCGATGTATTGACGTGAAACGGATTATATGAATCTTTTATTCCGTAATGTAAGATCCCACACCAAACTTTATTCCTAGACTCATCAAAAAGTAACTTCGAATACCGTTACTACACCGATTTTATTTTAGTTTTATAATTATACATCAATTATATATCGAAAATGCATGTAAAACCCTTGTATCAACCATTCTATCATTCGATCACCCATACTCTAAAATATATCACAAAATGACAATATTACTCAAAGAAATCTTGCGAACTTACGATATTACCTTTTCAATGGTCCCATGCTCTTAAGACTAATAATCTTTTTGTGTCTTTTTTTTTTTTTTTTTTTTTTAATAATTTTACCTTGAGAAAAAATTTACATTCACAAATCACAACGAAGGTTTTTTAATGGTTTTTCAATTTCTTTTTGGTTGTAATAGTAATATTTTCAATCAAGTGTTTAAGATAAATATTACCTACATATATAATCAAATCTTTACAAAATATGTTTGGCTCTCTATGTTCAAATCTTTAGCAAAACTTTTTATGCAAAATTTTCTTTTGTTGTCTTAAGTTAAAATAAAAAATAATAATAAATAAAAATAATAATAATAATAAAAATAAAAAACAGAACTCACGTCCTCCAACATAAGACTTATTTATGATGTACTTAGTTTGGCTTACATTTCAAAGGAAATGTACAATTAACAGACTTTACGGTTTTTATTTTCCGTAAAACAACATTATTTTTCTAGAAAAAGTAACTTGGCCAATTTACCCAGCTTTTTTTCCTTGAGTAAAGTGTTATTTTTTTATATTCTATAAAGAGGTTTTGAATGAAGGGCTTCTTATACTTTATAGAATATATATTTTATTCTAGTGATAGTAAAACTAAAATTAAAGAATTAAGCTGCAAAGGAATGGACTGAATGTGTCAAGCGCCAAACTGTATTTAGACGTATACAAATTTGTAAAATCATTTTGTTCCAACAAGAATATGTGACCATTGTAGTGATGTAGCTTTAATAATCAAATTTTAATTTATTAATTATTTATAAAATTCAAACATCAATAGAAATTGCTTACAGAGACAGTAGTCAAGGGACACATGACACGAACTATTAATTATACATTTGTCCAATTACATAATGCCGCCTTTACTATAAACTAGGTCAATATGTGCGCGTTGTGTAGAATAAAATTGTATAGTTAACCTTTTAGTAATCAAATGTAATTGAAAATATTTATGTCGTTTATATTAACTAAAAAATAATTATTATTAAATTTAGACATTTAGTTAATATAACATTATAATTAATTTGAACAATAAATAATATAACACTTACTAAAATAGAATCATTTAATGGTATCTACTCATGTTTTAAGTGTATATAAAATTAGTTATATTTCTCATCTATTTTAATTAACTAATGTTATGATTTATTAACTTTAAAAAAGTTGACAGTGTTTGAATTTTATCATGATGATTGTTTAAATTATCAATCATTGTTTGTGATGTAACATAATTTAATTTATAACTTTAATTTATTTTAACTATTATTATTATTAATTAATTTAAAATCAACTTAAATTTCACTTACTAAAAAAAATAGTTTTTGAAGATCTTTTAGTTAAATTTACTTTTAGATTTATGTTCTTTTACATTTATTGTATTTAATATTTTCCTTTTAACTCCTTGTAAAAAATATACATTGAGTTTTTTCAAACTTTATTTGATATTTTACTTTAGTTTTTAAATTTTACATTGGGTTTTTGACACTGTAGCACATCAATGTTTGGTCAATTTGCACATTTAGTCACTAAAGTTTTTTTTGTGCTCAATTGATCCTTAATGTTAGTAACTACCGGCTAATTAAAGGAATGTGAGCAAATATTACCGGTTTAAGGGTCATCGCTGACGTGTCTTGGCTTATGTGGACAAGCATTTGACCATGTCATCTGTAACGTGGAAACCTTCCTTAATTGAACCTTATATTGAACCATCGAGGATACATTGTTACCCCAAATTAGGTCAGTGTCTCCCTTCCGAAACTCTACACTCAATCGATATAACCAGAACAATGTCTGCCTCTTCCAGTCGATCAATCAAGCTCCTGCGTGTCGGAAACCTTCGTGATGATGACCTCTGTCCACCTTGCAATTGTCAAGACGCAATAAGTGTGGAAAGGACTGCCTGGACCGACGATAATGTAGCTCGCAGGTTTTGGAACTGCAAAAACTCTTTGGTGAGTATTCCTTTTGTTTACTTACACCGTATTTGTTATTTTGAGCTGGAAATGTACACATTTTCATTAATTGCAACCCTAACCCTAACTCTGGTTTTCCCTTTTAATCAGTCAGCTGAAGGTCCAAAATGCAAGTTCTTTATGTGGAAAGACAAAGAAATGGAGGAGGGTTACTACAAAGAACAGCTTCGCAAGATGAGGTTTGAGCTGAAAAGGAAAGAAGAGTTTAGTGAAGTGTCGAAGGTTCAAAAGAAGTTGGTTAAGCTGCAGCAAGCTATGGAAGCAGATAAACAAGTGTTTGAGACACAGTTGATGGAGTTGACGAAGCAAAATAGAATGTTGAAGTGTGGGATCTTTGTTATGGTAATTGTAGTCATTGCCATGTGGTTGAAATGGACTTGAATTGTGCAGCAGATCAAATAGGTGTTTATGGTTGATGGTATATAATTCCAACCAGTTTTTTGGAAAGTGTATGGGTAGATGTTAAAAGTTATTAGCTTTTTTGGGAAGTGTATGGGTGTATGGGTACATGGTCAAGGTTAGATCCTAGTTGTAATGTATAGTCAGGTTTTTGGTTGAATGCTTGTTTGATCAGTGTGTGTGTGTGTATGGGATGTTAGATGTAATGGAATGTAGATGTAATGGGATGGCAGTACATGGGAGCAATTGTAATGACTTTTTGTTGATTCAGTGAATGATATGAAAGATCCTAGTTATGATATACCTTGCTGAATTTTATAATATGCATGTGCTCCTTTTAAAAATTAAAGTGTGGGTACCACATTGTCGGCCATAAGGAACTCACTTGGTCCATTTAAAAGTGGATTGTCTTTAGAGTTCTGTGCAGGGGTATATATGGAAAAGTAAGGGTTAGTAAGGGTATATGGACCACTAACCACACGTGGTATATAAGGACATAATCAATCATAATTTTAAATTATCTATATATGCAAATATATTCCCTTGCCATGCAGTTTAACCAGACAAGTCCTTTCCATGCATGCAACTTCAAATTAACACAACAAAAAGCTCAAAATAACAATCAACTTAAGTAACACAAAATACACATCACATAAACCAACATAGTTTCATACAAACTAGCATAGTTAATAGCAGTTTCATAAAAACAGCAACAATACACCAAAACACATCATTTCACACTACATACCATGTTCATATCACATAAACCAACACTTAAAGTTATTCTAGAGTAACAAGTTTAGCTTCTGAATTCCCAGGTGCATCTGCACCACCAACTTTCTTGCCCAGTTTCAACTTGATAATCCTTTCAGATTTCTTCCTCCTGATTTTCTTCAACAGGGTTGCAAGTGGTGTTTCTCTAGCCTCCTGTTCTTGCACATGAACCTGACTAGGTTCTCCATTTGCTTATGCATCAAACTCCAAAGGAGTGAGTTCCACCTCATCATAGTCTTGTTGCACATGCACCTTATTGACTGCTTCTCCACCATCATTTACTGCTCATCCATCATTGACTGCATTAGCTTGATTACCTTCATCGTCCTCATTGAGCGCTTCAGCTACACCCTGATTGACCAATATGAAACATTATTAGAAATTTAAAAAGAAATTGTAAAGATTAACCATTTAAATACTTATGTACCTGTTTTGTTTTTCTATTAGCTTTGGTTTTAGGAGGCCTTGTTAAAGTACAAGCTCTTTTGTTGTGTCCTTCAATCTTACAAAGGCTACATTTTTGTTTTTTCCCAGCCTTGGATACCTTCACCTGCTCCTTACCTTTGTTTTGTGTTTGGGTAGTTGTCTTTGATTTTTTACTTGACTGGTTTGGGGTTTCTGTTGCATCCCTTTTCCTTTTAGTTGCAGGTCTCCCAGGCATAGTTCTACGAACAGGAGGTAAAGGTGGGGTGTAATCAGTTGCAGGCCACAAATTACTTCCATTCATAGGTGCTAACCTAAACTTGTATTCCTTCATGTAAGTGATGCTACTAAACATTTTGTCCACATATGACTCTACATCCCTATTCATAAAACTAATAGTTGCAACAGAATGGACACAAGCGATTCCATTAAGCTGCCAAAGCCTGCATGAGCAAGTTCTTTCTTCAAGATCCACTTCATAAGCATCTGTAGTTCCTCTTACTTCAAACTGATTTAGTCCACTAGGTAAGACTTGGTAATGTCTTAGACCCTTCTTAATGTCATTCACTATTTCTCTAATTGTTGGACAAATTTGGTTGCCCTATCCTAGACCCTTGCATTTCTTCTTGAACACCCTCTCCATCATATACATCCTCAACTCCTCTAGCATGGTGATAATTGGTTTCTTCCTAGCATCAACAATCACAACATTAAAACTTTCTGACATTCCATTCTCCACAGCATCACAACATCTTCATGCTTGGAAGTAGGCCCTTGACCATGTCTTGGGGTCTTTGTCCATCAGATACTGATGAGCACTTGGGTCTAGCACTTCAATCTCTTTCATGGCAACCTTAAAATCTACCTCTGTTGTTGCTTTACATGCCTTCCAGAATATGCTTTCATATTGGGCACCACTATACCTTTTCCTAAGGTTTTGGCTAATATGCTTGGCACACTGCCTATGCTCTACATATGGAAGGAGTTCTTTCACAGCCTCAATCAAACCCTGTTAACAAATTCTAAATATAGTGAATAAGGATGCAAATAGATAGGAAAATTAATTACAAACAATTAAATTACCTTGTGTTGATCAGATATTACACTGTATCCATAGCCCAAATTAAGTCCCAAGCCATCAATGAGTAAATCCAAAAACCACCTCCAATTTTCCTTATTCTCCACATATACTACTGCCCATGCAATAGGATAAATCCTATTGTTTGCATCCCTTCCAACAGCACATAATAACTCCCCTTTACAGATCCCTTTAAGGAAACAACCATCTAAACCTATTATCTTCCTGCATCCCTCTTTCACCCCTTCTTCAATGCATCAAAGCAAACATAGAACTTACTAAAGTAGTTCTTCCCATCTGGCATATGATTTATATCAAGCTTCACAGTGCTACCTGGATTTGATCTCCTAATCTCTTCTGCATACGACCATAACTTTGCATAATGTTCAACTAGGGTACCATCTATTAGTTGGAGTGCATATTTCTTAGCTCTCCTGCATTGACCAACACTGACATGAATGCCAAACTTCTGTGACACAGTTGTTCTTAGCTTTCTAACACTCATCTTTTGTCTAAGTAAGAACTCTCTTGTATAATGACTCCCTATCCAAGCATAAGTGACCATGGACCCTAACTTGTAGTTCCTTGCACATTTGTGGACTGGATTTAAAGACTTAATTTGGAAGCTTGATTCATCACTCATCCAAGATGCCCACAACCTGAATGAGCACTCACCCTTGCAACACTTAACCAACAATCTTTTCCTATCATTTTTCTTAAAGCAAAGTTGGTACCCATTCGCAACAGCATAGTTGCATTACATCGATTTTAATTGAGATGGATCTTTGAACCTCATACCAAGTATTGGGATCTGCTTTTTCCATGGAACTAACTCATTAAAAATGGAATGTTGTTGAGTGACATTGGCATCCTCTTCATGCCCATCATGATTATCTATGTTGTCATCATTTCCTTATTCCTCTTCGCCACATAATCTATTTAGAAATTCATCACCCTTTGTCCTATTCATAGTGACTATGTCCTCATTAAAGTCCACATCCACATCTGTTAGGTTATCAATTTCGTCCTCATTCTCACCACCATCAATGCAAGAATCATCTCCATCCTCCTCTTCTATTTCAGAGCCAAACCAATCTTCTATTCCTTGACCATCATGGTCCACATACGTACAAATTTTACCATCTGTCTCATATGCTTGAAAAATGAAACCACCATAATCTTCATCATTAGCGATAGCAGTTATCCCAGATATTAAGGGCTTACATGGTTCACAATAGTATAACTTCTTTATACTTTCTTGCATGAACCGTTCGAGAAAGGTGATACATTCACCGTATGTCATTCCAGAAAAATCGTGATCATTGAAAGTGAAGTTGATACCATGGTTATACGAGAAAGGATTTTTAAGAAAAACACCTTTGAAGTTCAGCTCCACTATAGGGTGGAGTCCATCAGGGTTTGGCGTCGAGGTAGACATTGTGGGTTGGTTGACTGCTCACTGACTTCGATCGGAGAAAACGACTTCGAACCCTAGGTTTAGTGCTTCGTATTCACTATAAGATGAGAAAAAGAAAGAACGAAGAAGGAGTGTTCTAGCTAAATAAATGTGTTTCTTTTGACCTCTAAATCCTACATGGATAAAATAAATGAATTATATTATGTAAACTTATTCCATGTAATCAATATCACCGGTTGTTCCGTTTACCGGGTGCATAAGGGGGTAATTAGCCGGTAGTTACTAACATTAAGGATCAATTGAGCACAAAAAAAACTTTAGTGACTAAATGTGCAAATTGACCAAACATTGATGTGCTACAGTGTCAAAAACCCTTTTACATTATATTTTTAAGTTTGTTTGACATATTAATTTAGGTTATGCATTTAACACAATATTGAAGTTATTGATAATTCAAGAAGTCTTTCATTTATGATAATATTTATAATTAATAACATATTTAAGTTAAAAAGTATATTATATAGAAATATAAAAAGTTGAGAGTTTCAAATTGATGTGGTGAAAGGAAAAATGATTCCTTTATAAGTATAATATGATATGATGATTATTAACTAGTGACGAATTTTTTTTGAAAATTGTTGTATGCTTTTGACGAGTATCATATAAATTGAGAAAGATGAAAAGTTGGTCATATGGATATCATTATTGAAATTACCCATTCAATTGTACTCATAATCCCGTAAGTGATGATTTAGATTCAGGCCTAAATATAATATTTAATTTTCTTTGATGACATTATTATTTACCTTATATATGTTGGTCAACATTTTTTAAAATTTTGGTATACTCCGATCTTGTCCTATAAGGTTATTTCCTCTGGACCGATGGTGGAGGATATGTATAATTCCCTTATTTTGATTCCTAACATTTTCTTTTTTTCGCATCAGCGCCATCTCACCTGTTAGTCAAACATTTTTCTTATATGGTCAAATATAGCAAGATGTACAAGTATCAAAACAAGATTGTACACAAATGTAATTCAGTGACACGATGGCCAAGATAGGATACTCTTTCGGTGGATGCAACATTTTTAGCTTTTTACAGTGCTGAAAGACAATAAATCTTGTTAATTTCGGATACCTAAATCCCACATGGGACATCCTTTCATGTCCCGAAAGGAATAACGTGCTGTGAAATTCTAAAATTTCCAATAAATTTTAAAATTTTAAAATAACATAAATCATCAATTTAATATATATTATTCAAAAAAATGAAATATCAAACCCCAAGATCAATTTTTCCAAACATTATTAGTTATAACTCTAAATTTATGAAAACATAACCAATTTAATATCAATTTCAAAAACCCGCATCGAGCCAGTGTGTACGGTCACGCCCTGCCATCATGTGTACATTAAACAATATTTTTAAAGGAAAAAGAGATAAGCACAAAACTTAATGAATTTCACACATACACAGTATCATATCCTATAATCCTTACCCATATACACAGATACAAATGGTATCAACACACAACCACACATGCATGTCAAATAACGAATCAGTAACATACATACTCCTATTGGGACACATTGGCTAGGCCCAATCCCCTATGCTCAATACATCAAGCCTTTGGGACACATTAGCTATGTCCGATCCCTCGTACCCGAACCCATTAGGAAATACTGGCCATGCCCGACCCCCCTTGCTCAGTTCGTTAAGCCCTTAGGACACATTGGCTATGCCTGATCCCCACTCGGATGCGCGGAGTCCTACCATGCATAGTCCTCAATATGTGAGGGAAACTATACTACCACTAGACTCTAACCCCGCCTAGTGCTACCCACATAAACAACACTTAGCACACACAAGCTAACGTAAAGGATATAATACAACACGGTGTAGTGAGAAAACCCACCTCCAAAAGCAATGCAATCTCCAAAGCAACCCGGGACTCACTCATTTATTCTTGTCCTTCACACTTCCTAATAATAAAGATTTAAGTTAAATTTATTAACTTATTTTCCCTAATTATGAAAATAGACTAAGGGGTTAAATTTCTGCTTTCTATATAAAAGTTGGGGTCTGTTCACGACCTATTTTTCCCACATTAAGCTCCATATTTTCAAAATTGTATAACATGCGGATAGATTAAGTTCTTAGCTTTAAAAGCAGTATTCGCACACCTCCATACGATTTTTCTACCATTTATGAAGAATTTTACAAAACTGCATTGCATAGCAGTTCATTCCGAAGCAGTCTGGGTAAATGGTCGATTTTACCCTAGTTAGAGGCATTTCTGGCTTCCGGTCAACACTTATGAAACAAAGTAGACTCAATTTCCGAACATTGTGCACTGGTTTCGATCAAAACCAACTTCCCTTGCATCAGTTATGATTTTTACAAAAACAGGACGGAACAATGAATTTTGCATAAAAACAAAACTAGGGTTTTCATGTATCTTCGAGCACTAGAAGTGTGAGGAAGATGATTACTTACCAAGAGCTTGACCTTGATCCTTCATCGATCAATCCCTATTCTCTTCCTTCTTATCGATCATGGCAGCTCACACTCATACACAACAATGAGGCAACTAGGGTTGTGGAGTATGTGTGTGCATGTTTAAATGGGGTATGAACCCTCAAATGGGTTGCCAATTTTTGTGGCCTTCAAGGCCCCCTTGACCCTATTATGCAACTTAAAGATATTACACTTTATCCCCTTTAACTTGTAGCACAAAGCTCAATTAACCCTTACTGCTAGATTTCGATATTTATTTGTTTCTTCTTGTATTATTTGACTTTAAACCCCTCAACTTCTCTTTATACTAGTGTTGCAGAAATCGGCCTTGGCGGCCGATTAATCGGCGATCAATCGTTTGGCGGCCTCGAACCGATTACGATTAGGGTGCTTGGCGGAAATTGGTCAAAATCGGTCAAACTCGGGCTTAGCGGTCCTTGGCGGCCTTGGCGGTCAGAGGCGAGAAATATTTAAAAAATTCAAAAAAAAAAATAATTTTCAAATATTAAACCAAAATTTTAAAATTTTAAATTTTTAAGCTTTCAAAATTTAAAATATTATACTAAAATTTTTAAAATTTCAAAATTTTAAAATTTCAAATTTCCAAATACTTAATTTTTTAGGAAATATTAACTTTTTAAATAATTTTATTAATAATTTAGGGTCCCCGATTAGTCGCCGATTAATCCCCGCCGAGTCTGATTAATCGCTTATCACCAATCGACCGTCGAGCTATCGCCGAACGATTTTTGCAACCTTGCTTTATACTAATCAATATGATTTTATTAGCATCGTATCATTACTTATTTGACCCCAAATTTATATTTCTGAACTCCATAAATCATTTTCTCTAATATTTGTTTCTTTTAAACCTAAAATGGAAAATGAGGCGTTACAACTCTCCCCCGCTTGAATCAGGCTTCGTCCTCGAAGTCTCCTTCAGCAAACAAAGTTGGATAATGTGCTTGTATCTCCGCTTTCGACGCAAGGTCCACTCAGAGCCCTTCTGATGCTGACACTTAACCTTTACTAACCAAATCTCTTTGTTTCGTTGAGCCTTTATTTTTCTCTCAAGGATGACAATTGGCTTCCTAACATAAATAGGTCGTTTGTTGATCTGCAAGTCCTTCAATGGAACCATCGTTGTCTCATCCACCTAACACTTCCAAAGCCGAGACACATGGAAAGTGTTGTGGACCAATCTCTAACTCATGTGATACTCGAGAAATGACTTTTGTACAAACCGATCTATCGAGGCCCCAACATTTCCCTCTTACAAAACCGCATCACCCCTTTCCAAGGTGAGACCTTCAATAAAATATTATCTCCTAGCTGAAATTCCAAATCGGGTCTCTTCTTGTTGGCGTAGCTCTTCTACCGACTTTGTGCAGTGACCAACAGCACTCCGACCATATTAATCAACTCGTCCATTTTTAAGAAAAATATATGTGCTCCTTATTACTCGCTGACCGATCTCTCCCCAACAATTGGGTGTTTCACACTCTCTACCATACAACAGTTCAAATGGATGAATGCCAATGCTAGAGTGGAAATTGTTTTTGTAGGAAAACTCCGCCAGTGGAAGATACCAACCCAATTACGAATCCAATTACACCCAAGTTCAATTGCATAAGCTCAAAGCATATCGTAGAGCATCATAATCGTACACTCCCTCTAACCGTCTATCTACGGTTGGAACGTTGTATCCCACCAACTATGTACCCACCTCCTCCTAAAACCTTTCTCAAAACTAGGATGGGAATTAAGTGCATCTATCTGAGACAAAGGAGCTCTCCAGAGATATCAACCAACAATAAATCAACTTGATAACATTCTAGTTTTGTATATTATTCTACTAATAGAACACTCTTAAGGTAAACTATACAAGACATAGAGTATCTTAGTTTGGTTAAGTATACTCTTGAAGTCACAAAAGATATCTAGGTTATCCCTAAATAAAAGGACTCAACCTAGTTTTTCAATAAACTCATTTATCTAATCATATTTTATTACAACTTCTAAAGTAGTGTTCAAAGTCTTCAAAGGTTGTAAACTTCTTCTTCTTCCCTGTGGTTATGTTTTAATCTTTCTAAACCTTACAAATTGATCCTTGGTGGGCTAAAATGGTTTTAGTTTTTTTTTAAATTATAAAATGCTTATGTTGTTAATTACATTTGTCACACCCCCGGCCGCCAGCAGAAACGCCGAGGTGTGCGACTTAAATCAGTGATCACAGTTATTGAACATACATTGAACAGTACAAATATAATCTTCTACTATTCCTAAAATATAAATTACATTGACAATAACTATTGCTAAATCACAACACACACCTAACAATCTGGCATTTACAAATGTATAATAAAAATATCGGAGAGTCTTATAACCATACTTAAAATAGTATTTTTAAAGAGTCATTGAATAACCATTGAAAACCAAAATATGTCTTTGCACAAGTAAATCCATATTTAAAATAGTATTTGTAAAGAGTCTTTGTATAA